TAGCTGCCAGAGGCACAAATGCAGAGCCCCAAGTCCTACATCGCTCTCCCAGTCCTTCAGCCTTCCCCTACTCCATGTCCTCCGGCTAGCCTTGACTTTACCTGCCATTGAAACTGCCCGAGTCTCCCGTCACCAAATCTTGAATCAGGAAGAAGGGGTAGAACACTGGAGTTGGAGGAGGTTCAGAAGAGGAGAAAAGGAATGAACTTGGTCTGGGAAGCTGAGGGAGGAGATGGGGGCTGGGAAAGGGGAGCAGGTGGAGGAGATTAGAGCAGGGGAGGGGGGATGTGGGGAAGGGAGCCAGGAAGGAGAGATGTGGCAGAGAGTGAGGTAGGGGAAGGATGGGGTACTCACTGTCACGGAAGAGAAAGCAGGGCATCTCAGGGTCACTGAACACACAGTCAAAGTAGTGTTTGTTCTGCTGGCGGTTGTATTCCAGAGTATAGGTGATATCAAAGGCTAAGCGCTTGCCTGGGGGGCAGCCAATAAATATTGGCACCATCAGGTCGCCCTGAGCAGGAGAAAAGTCTTGTGCTTGGGGGGGTCCTTGTTGTGTAAAGGGTTTATTTATTTATTATTGTGGGGGGGGCAGGTTGTGGGGCTTGAACTCTGGGTCTGGGTGCTGTCCCTTAACTTGTTCAAGGCTAGCACTCTACCACTTGAGCCACATAGGACATCTTTTGGCTTTTGGGTAATTAATAGAAGACAAGAGTCTCGTGGACTTTTCTACCCAGGCTGACATTGAACCTCCACTCTCAGATCTCAGTTTCCTGAATAGCTAGGATTGTAGGCGTGTACCTGGCTTTGTTCTTTGCTACTTTAACTCAAAATAGAATCAAAGGAGCTGGGGGGGGTTAGTGGGGGTAGGTGGGGACTACTACAATTGCCTTTTTTTTTTTGGGTCCAGTCATGGGGCCTGAACTCTGGGCCTGGGCGCTGTCCCTCAGCTCTTCAGCTCAAGGCGAGCACTCTACCACTTGAGCCACAGCACTACTTCCAGTTTTCTAGTGGTTTATTGGAGATAGGAGTCTCACGGACTTTCCTGCCCGGGCTGGCTTTGAACCGTGATCCTCAGATCTCAGCCTCCTGAATAGCTAGGATTACAGGCATGAGCCACCTGCGCCCAGTGCTAGAGATTCTTAAATCTTTCTGTTTTCCTATAGAAAGGTTCTTTTCTCTTATGATAACCTTAGTTGTTTATCTCAACATTCCTACTGTCAATCCTTAGCTGTTTATTTCAGCATTCAGTTCCTAGCTAAAATGGATTGCCAAATGGTCTCAGAAATAGACCTTGAGAATCTCCATTCTGGAGGAAGTGATGCCCCCTTTTCAAAACAATAGTGAAATTATGATCAGCAGTTCTGCTTCAGGGTCCATTTCTTTCTGAATTTGTTGGTCATAAGACCAACACACAACCCACAATTTGTCAGGTGGCAAAGAGAAACCTTTCCAATTTCAATCACCAATAACCTGTACAGTTGGGGTGGTAGCAACAAACTGATCATGTGCCTTCTCCTTGGTCTTGAAATGAGACTTTTATTTGGAGTCTAAATAGTGAATATTCAAGCAAAACAGAAAGGCCTGCCTGGGAGACAGCTGTATCAAAGAGGGGGGGGGGCGGGCTGAAAGTAGATGAGGGTTGGAGCAGACCAGAGACTCAAGTCTGTGACTTCATCCCAGAGGTTGGCTCAAGTTCCTCCTTTTCCTGGAACACTTTGGAGGGGGCCCTGTAGCTCTCCGGGAAGCTCATCTGGGAGGCCATGCTGAACATGGCCGTGGAGGTGGCATAGGTGTAGTAGGACTCTGAGGTCATTACATTGTTGATCTTCCAGCGCAGTGAGTTCCAGGCAATCACCATGTAGGGCCACAGGAGGGAGAAGGCGAGGTACAAGATCACCAGGCCCATAAAACTGCTGACCGACACCTATAGACACCAGACAGTAGGGCTGGGTGCTCAGCCTGGGGGGACCCCCCTTACCATGCACAGCTTGGTATGTCCTGGACTTCACTCACCATGACGATGAAGAGGGCCCGCCTGTTGCTGAGTGGGAGCCCGTGGATGTGCAGCCAGAAGGTGAGCTGGTAGTCACAGTATGTGCTCGAGTCTACATCTCTGGTAGGACATGGGGGTCCCAGGAATGGGAGAGAAGTCAGGTCCCACAGAGGACACCGTCAACTCCTTCCC